TTCCACACAGTGCAATTACCCCATATGCAGCTTGTGTATCAGCAAATTCTTTTAATACAGTTAATAAACAGCCATCACAAAAAGGATCACTGAATTGAATTAAAATGAAAATCTAAATATTGAGCTCCATCACCAATGTCAGAGCCAATTGAAACAATGTAAGGTGATTAGATAAAGAGCAGGCACACAAGAGACGTACATATTACCATCCAGATAACCAGTTTACTGGTTTTTTATAAGCCTAGAAGTACATTTCTATCAGATGATGCAATCCTGCCATGATCTAAGTCCGACCGCACAGAGGCTCTCTGCACTGAAACACTGCTGGTAGAATTGGGTGCGTGTCAGAGAGCACATCATTTCAGCATTTCAGCATATTCAGTGCAACACCTGGGTAAGAGCTCAGTGAATACACAGAGACAAATTTACGTACAATGTTTCAATGGACCATGATGCTAGAGACTGGGAAATCCTTTGAGATATCACTGCATTCTTGAGTACAGATATGTTTATTAAATGGAAAGGACATGGACTCAGTCCGAACACAAATTAGATCCCCTAATCTAAGCTCCTCCTTCACCTTTTGTGGAGTCAAGAGTAAGAACACCACTGTGGGTAGGAAAGGAACTCCGTACCTGTGCTTTCCCAATGTGACAGAAACGCACATGGATGATGCTTGTAAAATAGATTATATTAGATGAGCTTTATTGATCTCACAGCGGAGAAATTCACTGGTCACATATTGGCATAGTACTTAAAGAAGGTGCAAACAAGGAGGAAAAGGTGCAATAGGAATAAAAATAAATAAAAATAAAATAAAAATAAATAAAAAAGATAAAAATAAGAAATAAAAAAATTTAAAAATACAAGGGGAGTAACACAGAGGTTTGAGGTGACATATGTACAATCAGGATGGCTTATATACAGGTGGATTTAGTTTTACATTAAAGTGTAGTACTGTAGGTAAGGAACAACGGTGAGGTAGTGGTACGACTATTATATTCACATATATTGCACAGTCAGCATATTGCACAGAATATTGCACAGTCAATGAATAGGGACTGCAGTGTTCTAAAAGAGATCTCGGCCAACAAAATCTTCTGCTTTGGTAAGACCTTTAGAGTCCTTACCAATATGCTGTATTTGGACTGTGCCATGGTTTGCTAACATGATCAAAATGAAAGTAGGAAGGTACCAAAGTCTAAAAAATAGGGATGCTTGGAGGAGAAGTGTAAAATGAATTTAGAGCCTGATAAAGCAAATGATGTCTGAACAAATGCAGTAAAAACACTGGATAAAAACACTCATGAGTTAAACTAAAACAGTATGAAAACCAACCTTAACATCAACATTAAAAGCCTCTCAAACTCAGTGTGTAGACCAGTAACCAGTAATCCACTGAGGTCTCTTATCACTTTTAAAGGAAATAAAACATTTAATATACATTTACTCAAAAAGACACCTTTTAAGAACACATGAAAGGTTTTTAATGTATAGGCCTGTTAAACAATAAAGTGTTTAAAACCTGTCTTCCTGCAAATGTTTGTTTAACAGATTGGTTTGGCAATGAAAGAGTGTTTTGTCCTTTTTTTTTTTTCTAAAAGGGGTTGGGTGGCGGTACTTTCTACCCGAGGGTAACAGTTCAAAAGGCAGTAAAAATGGATGCTTTTGATCAGCTTGGGTTCTTTTTTTGCTTTGTTTGCGGTTTTCAATGTATGGATGAGCTTAAAGATGGTATAGAAAAAGACTAGGAGGATCAAACCTTTCCCAAACATTGTTTCCTGGTTCTCCTTGGAACCTTTAAATTGAAAAAAACAAAAACAAACAAAAAGCCCAATCATTACAAAATGATGTTAATAATCAATAAAGATCTCTGATTTTATTTTATCGTTTTTTTTTTTTTTTTCAGAGTCTCTGTAGTTGATCATTTCCAGAGTAAAAAATTAAATGAAGGTCACTTGGAAACTTCTGAGGCCAGCAAATCCAGGTGGTAAACTCACTAAAAAACATTGCTGGAAGTCACCAATAGAACACCATAACCCAACGATATATGGTGGAATAACTTTTTTCAGGTGTGCTTTAGTAATGGTCGATAACATTACAAACAGCTATATACACCTGTTAGATTTTGGCCCCTTTGGGTGTTTGGCAGCTAAAGATACAAAGGGGCTTTGTGGGTTTTTTGGAATGATAGATTCGCAAAAATTTAGCAGCAAGGATTGACTGATTGATTGATTGACTTTTTTGATCTCACAGTGCAGAAATTTACTCTTTACATCAGCTGAAATAGTCAAAGAAGAAGAAAGTGCGAAAGAAAGAAAAAGGTGCATGGGATATATACAGCATATACCAGAGGTCACAGGTTAGCGCACCGCAGTCCGGATCCGGACCCAACCTGATTTAAAACAGTTATGAACGTTCATGAATTTTTGAACGGTCTGCTCAGTGGAGCAGTGGGTGCCTTGCAGCAAGAAGGTTCTGGGTTCGATTCCCAGCCCGGGTTCTTTCTGCATGGAGCTTGCATGTTCTCCATGTTCTCCCAGCTTCCTCCCACAGTCCAAAAACATGACTGTTAGGTTAATTGGCTTCTCTAAAGTCCCCGTGAGTGTGTGGGTATGTGTGTGTAAATGATTGTTTGTCTCTTGGTCGCCCTGCAATGGACTGGCGACCTGTCCAGGGTGTACCCCGTTTCTCGCTTGGAGATAGGCACCAGCACCCCTTGTGACACACTTGGGGTGTCTGAAAATGGATGGATGAATAAATTACCACATGTTGTCTAACAACAGTGTCTAACTTCACTTGCGCACTTGTTAATATGGTAAAGCCATCCGGAGCGTCCGGGACCAGGCTACCCTTGATACAAATTAGCCAATGAGCTGTCACTGCTGTGAGCCACTTCAGACACAGCAGGCAAACCTGTGGCAAGCCAGGTGATGAAAAAGAGACTGCTGGAAGAACTGTGGTGACAGAAAAGTGAAATGGTGTGCTCAAAGATTACCCTGCATTTTGAGAATGTTTGGCTCAACCTGTTGCTGTGAAGCAGGATTCTCCACCATGACCATAATCTGAAATAAATATCAATCCAGGCTCAGAAATGAGCATCTTGATTTTTTTTTTCTTGAGAAATCAAGTTTTAAAAACCTTGCAGGGCAGCTAATTAATTAATTAAGCACTAAAAAACAAATAACCAACGGTCAGTTCAGGTGTTTTATAAAATATGTGAATCAGGAAATTGTCTATATACAGAACTGAACGATTGTTGTTCTCTACTGAAAAAGCACTGTAGATTTTAAAATGGAAAAATGTTCTTTTTTTATTATTTCATATTTTTTTAATTTAAAAAGTCAATGTATAACATGGATGCATAAACACCTCATTTTATTTCAGTGTTAAATTCTGTTTAAAGTAAGAGATTATAATTAAAATGTCCTCCATATATAGTGCATCCAAATGTCACAGCTGTTTTTTTTTTTGTTTTAATAGTAGGATCATTATGCAGGGTTATTGCACAGGATGTTTACATGGGTATTTATATAGATGGATATTTTCAGAATATCAGATACGGTATTCACCAAAAGAAAAAAATTCCAAAAAACAACATAAAATAGAGAAAGTAGAAAAGGAGATCACATAGCAGGCTGCTGCATGCAGAGCACCATCTAAGGACAATAGTGTCAAGTCAGGATCAGGTTCTCAATTGACTCCTACCAATGAAGACTGCTTAAAGTTTTAACTTAATCAAAACTTGGTTCACAAAGAGAAAACGTTAAGGGTTCATACACTGATGTAGCAAAATTATGTCCCTTTTATTTATTCATGGGTATATATTATCTTTGCAAAACATTAGCTTTACAAAAATGTCATGTTGACACTGAGGCATGCATAGCCAGGTTGTTTTTCGTACTAAAAAATATGTACTTATACGTAAGAGGATTAGGGCCACTAAAAAAAATAAAATAAAAAGTTAACTGAATTTTAACAGAAATCTGACTTTAATCTCAGAAATCTGACTTTTTTCTTAGAATTCTGACTTTAATCTCAGAATTCTGACTTTAATCTCAGAAATCTGACTTTTTTTCTTAGAATTCTGACTTTAATCTCAAAATTCTAACTTTTTTCTTAGAATTCTGACTTTAATCTCAGAAATCTGACTTTAATCTCAGAATTCTGACTTTTTTTTCTCAAAATTGTGACCTTTTTCTTAGAATTCTGACTTTAATCTCAGAATTCTGACCTTTTTTCTCAAATTTGTGACTTTTTTCTTAGAATTCTGACTTTAATCTCAGAATTCTGACTTTTTTCTTAGAATTCTGACTTTAATCTCAGAATTCTGACTTTAATCTCAGAATTCTGACTTTTTTCTTAGAATTCTGACTTTAATCTCAGAAATCTGACTTTTTTCTCAGAATTCTGACTTTAATCTCAGAAATCTGACTTTTTTTTCTCAGAATTTTGACTTTTTTTTTTTTTTTCAAAATTCTGACTTTTTTCTCAGAATTCTGAGATTAATCCCAGAATTCCGACTTTAATCTCAGAAATCTGACTTTAATCTCAGAATTCTGAATTTAATCTCAGAATTTTGGATCTTAATGTAGATGGGCACCATGAAAGAAGAGATGTGGGAACCCTCAGCTTTACTGACAAAGATGTTTTGTTTGAGAGGACCAGTGACACAGTGGTGGAAAATGACGGAATTAGGCAACTTTTTATGTGCCAATTCTGAGATGAAATTCTGACTTTCTGAGTTCTGATGTTTTTCTAATATTATACTGAAATAAAATTTAAAAATCAGTTTACTTTTTTAATTTTTTCAGTGGTCCTAATCCTCTTCTATATTCTGCAGCATACAGCGTGTTTATGATCAAATAAAACTACAGTGGGCGAGGTTTGACTCCAGCGATGATGCTTAGCGACCAATCCGATTGGCCCCAAGGAGACATACCTGAGCAGCTGCCAGAGCAAGAGGCGGAGCGGATCGTACTTATAACCCCTCTGCTCCCACTCAGTAGCCCATCCAGCATCAGGACATCTGCTGTCCTCATCGCATCCTAACAAAAACACAGAAGCAGCCATGCACCTCTGCGCGCAAGCGGCGCGTCGCTCCATCTTCCTGCTCTGCATCCTCCTGAAGAGCTGCCAAGCCGTGAAAAATGACGCCACGGAGCAGATGTTCTCGCACGTGAGCCTCGCGCCGGTTCCGGAGCTGCAAAACAACGCGTCCCTGAACCGCGCGCGCACCGGTGGAAGAGGACAGGGCGGCGGGGCGGCGGCGCAGGAGCGAGACGGTGAGTTGGACCAGAGGCAGAAAGGATGCTCTGCTCTTCTTCTGCTTTTACTGAAACACTTCAGCATGCTTTCTGTAATAATGCTGGACATATTTGTACGATTCCCTTTTCGAGAAATAACAAGAAAAGTTATATATATATATATATATATATATATATATATATATATATATATATATATATATATATATATATATATATATATATGAAAAAAGACGCACCTAAATCTTTTTTATCTACCACACATGCATGCAATGTTCCTACTATCAGTCTTAAGATATAAAAATATCTACATAAATCTTAAAAAGTAATAGCCTACTCACAAAATCATAAGCAGAATAATTAAACATACCAGAAAACATAGAACAGCAATTTAATTTAATAATTATCTAAGGTCAGTTAAGCATTTGTAAAAGTTTAAAATGGTATTTAAATTGTATATATGTAGAATAAAGCATGCACTGCATGTCTGAGTTGCTGTAAAAGGAATAGATTAAAACGCTGAAAAGTTTATAAAAAGTCAAACTTACAGCAAATAGAATTTAAAAATTAAGTGTTGCATAATAACAGCATAAATCTGTGTCACTCAGTCAAACTGTTGCTTGGTACTAATAAATATGCAAAATTGTTCCAACATCTGGGGAAAGATTAGAAAATGTTGCAAAAGAGCTTTAAATGTATGCAAATTTAGATTAGGCATGAACTGGACAATTTTAGGTAAAGATATACCATACCATACCAACTTTATTTATGAAGCACTTTATACACTGAACAGGACCAAAGTGCTGTACACAATCATAAAATACAATAAAATAATAATAAATAATAAAAAAAGATATATTTATCGATTAGTTGATGATTGATGTTTTCACTAGTTATCAGTGTGAACTGTGGCAGCACATGGCACCCACCTGACTGGCATCAGTCCAGACAGGTTAGATTTTCTCCCAGTGCAATTGTTACCCTGCGGCTCTCCCAGTATAAGGCTCTGATGGATGAGGATGTGTAAGCAAGAGACAGGAAGACAGAGCTCCTCCATTCATCCAGAGCTGTCACAGAGGTGTATGGGGCTGCATGAATGGAGTAGGTCTTGGGTTACAGCTACAGGGGGAAGGGGAGACTCGCAGCCTAAAGGAGTAAAAGCTGTCTGCGAAGGTGCATTCTTGCCGCTAGTCTTTGATTTTTTTTTCTTTGTCACAAAGCTGTAATTACTTTTTAAGGAAGAAAGATCAAGATCCGATTGTTCTTAATCCTTGTCATCGTGTTTCTTGCCAGAAGCTTCAATTGGACTCAACCAATGTAATTGGAGAAATCTTGTTTTCCATTCCAGTTCAAGGCAATCCTGAGACAGAACTTCTAATGTTTGGATTTTTCTATATCCTGAAATGATCAAATGTTTTTTTTTACCCACAGATCGAAGTCAGATTGGCTGCAGAGAGCTGAGGTCCACAAAGTACATCTCTGATGGCCACTGCACCAGTGTCAACCCCATCAAGGAGCTTGTGTGTGCAGGCGAGTGCCTCCCAGCTCAGATGCTTGAGAACTGGATTGGCGGGGCCCGTGGCAGGAAGTTTTGGGCCCGCCGAAGCAGCAGCCACGACTGGCGCTGCGTCAACGACAAAACCCGAACCCAACGCATACAGCTGCAGTGCCAGGACGGCAGCACAAGAACTTATAAGATCACCGTGGTCACCTCCTGCAAATGCAAAAGGTTCTCAAGGCAGCACAACGAGTCCGGCGGCAAGTTTGAGGACCCAGCCCTGGTGCAGCCATCGCTCCTCCACAGACACAAATCCAAGAACAAGAAGAGGTTGGGCAAGACCCGGCTGAGGGAGAACTGGCATGAGACTGAACCTTAAAATCTGAAAGGTTGTTCAGATTGACTCTGAAATATCCATGGGAGGTTTCTCCTTTTGACATTTGGAAGTTGTGGTTGTGGATTATCTTTCTGTGACTTTGACTTCACTTGCTCCTTAGCTAAGAAGAAGGCTTCAAAGAGGATTGTCAAATACTTTTGATTTAAAAATGTGAACAGAAGTGCATTGTGCAGGCTGGAGAACTCTAGTTACTACAACACATTATCCCATGTGGGCTGTGCATGCATTCCTATATCCATTCTGTGTAATTATGGAGATCTGCAGTTAACTAGCAGAAATAAATCCTTTAAATCATTACCTGTATATAGTTGTACATACATGGAATTCCTACTTTCATTTAGAACTACGGTTGTTTATAAGATTTTTCTATGTAAGAAATATGATGTCTGATGTAATATATTTTTGTTGCAATATACCTGAGAATCTCGCTTGTTTATTGTTTTGAAAAAACAAAATACTTGTTATAACTTTATGCTGAATAAATTCTAATTATTTTATCACATATTGGGTCATATTATTAACCAGGGGTCTTATCTTTACCAACTTGACAAAATGAAACAACACAACATCCCAAACTCTCATTTACTACTAAAAAGAAAGATTAGATTGCAAAGCTTATTGGTTTGGAGCATAATGGTGTGTTGATACAATACCCAGATGGAAAGACGTCAGCAATTGCCCCAAAAGAAGCAACTGTTGCTGCCCTAGAATCTGAAAAAGGGGTATAATGTCTATACAACTTGAAATCCAACCTACTATTCATCATGGGTGGAACAGATTTAAGACAGATGCCCTTTTTATTTCCAGATTCTTGATGTTCACTCCAGGGAAATTTATTCTGAACTTAAACTGTGCATTGCTGAGAAACCCCTAAAGTTTCATGTCAGAATCTTGTGGGCTCAGAATTGTATTAAATACATTTTATGTCAGTATAATGAGAAAAATACAGAACATACATGCCAGGAGAAAGAAGATGACAACAAAGCTGTATCTGAGGAAACCACAATACATCTGGAACATGCCCATTAGAAAGACAAAGATGTCTGCATAATGCACAGCATCATGTTCATCAAAAATCAAATGGCAGCATTTGAACAAAAACACCTGATACCTGTTGTCAGTCATGAGGCAAAAGGTTGGTGATATGGGATTGTTTTTCAGGTACAATGATGCTTTGCATTGTTCCATCTGTCTAAAGAGGGCATAAACTGGAACATATTTTCACACATAGAGAAAATGTGCTACAATAGGCCTGATTTACTTGATTAAAAACAGCTGTGGGATCTCAAAGAACCTAAATAGTCATACAGAAATAGACTACTTCAAGGTATTGCTATTAATTTTTTGCTCTATGAGCTGTTGAATCATGGGGTGTATGAAGTTTTTCACCATTCTCTTATTTTAAATAAGGTTTGAGTAAATTAAAATGAACAATTGAGAATAGATTTGAATTATTTTAGAATATTGAAGAAATTTGTCATTCTTTAACATATCCTTGAACATAAAAACTGAGGACAAATCCAAGTTTTTTTTTCTCCAAACAATAGGAATCTATTCTCATCTGATGTTGACACAAACAACAAAACTTCTAGACGTATATATATATTTATTTACACAGATGCATCAATTGAATGTTTTAATATTGCTGTTAAAATCAGGATCTGCTGTTGCAGACAATAATGTGCTGCTTAAAATATCTGCAAGTAGTGCCCTGAGGGAACATCTACAAGTTGATTCACAAATAGCTGTCAAGTTAAATTAATGTCCGGTAATGACTTTAATTTCAAAATAAAATAAACAAATTTACCTCAACCCTCTCGTCCCCCGTCAAACAGTACTTTTATGATGTCTTTCTTCTGATATATTGGTAACATGTAGGTATCAATTGGCATTATATATTCCAGGCATTCAGTTTTTAATTAGAATGCCATTATTATATTAAGTTAATATAAACTTAATTAACAACAATATTATTAATTCTCACAACAAAAATAACAGTGCAAATAATGATTATAGCCTAATAATCTCCCATAACTCCTTAAAATAACATAATACCTCACACAATATACGCTAAAGTTTCCTTATTGGCTTACAAAAGTATCTTATTTTGAAATCACCAAGCGGAAGTACTGGTCTTGCTACGTTAGCTTGAGAGCCTCTGCCTTCCCTGCTTCTGTATCCATGCTGCCTCACGGAAAAGCAGCCTGTCAGGCAGGAATGAACAGATTTTTGAATATCCATTCTCTCTGACAGCCATCCTTCCCTTCTAACCGTTAGCAGATGGAGGTCAGTCCCGTTTACATGCAGAGTGATGACAGTGAACCGAACAGGCCCGCGCATCCCCGGGGCTGCCTAACAGGCGAAGCCGGGAAAAGCGAACACATTCGGGCGGGACATTACGTGGACTTCCCGGTGTCGGTTGTTCTTCCTGCCGGCGGAACCGGCGAGAGAACCGGACTGCAGACACCAAAACAGTTCTGTTGTTTTCTGGGTAGACCGCTCATAAGCTACACTATAGAGTCATTTGAGAGGTAGGACAATAAATCCATGATAACTCCCTTTTTTTAGTGATAAAAAGACACATTAAATGACGCAAAAGAAGTTCCCACTTCAACAGGGATGATTTCACTGGATGTAAGGGACCCCCCCCATCTCAAACCTTATTCATTATTTCCTTCAATCATCCACACATTAAGGAATAAAAGGAAATAATTAGACCAAAAAACAGAATTGTTTTGGAATTATTACATTTTTTCTTTTCTTAGCAATACTTGTGAAATTAATTTGAAAAGTTTTAAGTGCACACAAAAATCAATTGATGTTTAGATGGAGCTGACTCAGCTTGATATACCAAGTCAGGTATATATATATATATATATATAAAATAAAATCCAACCTTCCAGTTTCTAAATGAAACATAAGTGCCACACAACTCACACAACTTTTATTGTCATTTTATATACACAAAATCTTTTTGTGTATATAAAATATAAATATATATTTGTATGTATACATATATATATTTGTAGCATACTGGTTCTTTCTATGGAAGCAAAACGTTACCATATTTCAAGTGAAAAGCATTTCCAGAAATGCTTTTTCATTTTAAGAATGTGGCTGCATTGTTTGACTCATAAATGAAATTAGTAATCAGTCATCCTATTTGCATTTTAATTTTCTTCTTAAAGACTGCTCATCCTGTCACTTAATTAAAATGAAAAAGAAAAAGACATTTGAGATGTACCCTAGCAAATGCATACCAAAATTCAATTTAAAATTTGAAAATGAAAACGCATTTCCAGAAATGCGTTTTCATTTTAAGAATGTGGCTGCATTATTGGACTCATAAATGACACAACTTTTATTGTCATGTTGTATACACAAAATCCTTCTGTACAGCCAGCTTTCAGAACATTTCCATTCCTTAAAGTGCAGCAGTGATTAAATGTAAACAGTGTGGGAGAAAAAAATTGTGCAAAAACGCATTGATATGGAAATTTAGAGCGTTAAATATATATGGTGCAAATATACAGTAATTTGGTTCGGTTTTATCAGTGTGGTGCAGAGTCTGTGACCTGATTTAGAGTTTTCTCAACAGTTCAGCTGTCTGAGGGTGGAGGGGAAGAACCTGTTGCAGATTCTGCTGGACCTGCATTGAAATCTGCAAAGCTTTTTTCTCAGAGGGCAGCAGGGAGAAGAGTCCATGGTGGGGGTGTGAGGGGTCATTGATGATGTTACAGGCTCGGGACACACAGGGCTGGGATGAAATGTCTTTAATGGAGGGAAGAGGAGCCCGGATGATCCTCTCTGCTGTTCTCATGACTCTGTCACCTTCTTCCAGTCTGAGACGCTGCAGCCTCCACACCCCTCAGTGAGCCAGCTGGTCAGAAAGCTCTCTATGGTGCTTCTGTAGATGATTGTGCGGATGGGTGGGGGCATGAGAAATATGTCCTTGGTTAGCCATTTAAAGAATCACTGAGATGACTAAAATGAAGTAACAATAAGTTCAGAAACATTTTCTACCTAAATAAATTGCCCACCAGACAATTTATTTGTTGGTAGTTAAATTCTAAACATTCTGAACTAACTTTGAAGATTTCTCCCCCCCTTACATCCTTGTTTCGTTAATGATGGAACTGTTAGGCATGGCAGGATGTCCACAGGGTGTGCTTATATGGGAGTATGTTGTTTCTTTCTGTTTTTGAAGGATTACCCTCTTACAGGAAAGTAAAGGGGTTTGTTACGTCTCATTCAGGAAGCTTTGATCCTCCCTTGGTGTTGTTGTCCTCTTAAGTAGGGCTCCTAATAATCACATAACTGCTGTGCTAGAATAATTTGGTTAAAACTGAACAATATAGTTTTTAAATCAAAGAAAAGCCAATGTTTGTTGTTCAAAGGAATTCTCTCAGAAGAAGTTAAATTGAAGATAATTTAGTAGGCATCCACAGTATGAATAAACAGCCATTAAAAAATAGTGAGAGTTAAACTTTATACTTCAAATCTAACAAGCTTTTTGTTGAATCCCAGTTTTGTTGATGGATTAGTCATCTTTTTTTTTCCTTTGGCTCAAAGGCAGCCATGTTTTCAACAGATTTCAGGCTCCATGATGGGAAGATGAAGATGAAAAAGAGGATGTTTTCATTAAATCTCAATCCCTGGCTGATGATTAAAGTTAGTGAAATAACCACCGCTGTTAGCAGATGAATCTGGCTAGAATTTTCTATTTTTTCTGCTTGTATCAGGAATTCAATCAGAGGAAAAAGGCCAATGGATATTGGCTCAGTGATAACAGGGAGGGTTCCTGTGGAGAAAAGCCAGGGTTGTGGTGTCAACAAACCCCATCTGATCACTAATTTTCACCAGAGTTTCATTTTCATCTCATTATGAATAAAGGTATAGTTTTTTTTTAATAGGACAAATTTGATCCGATATTGACCCAGAGTTCACAGAACCAATAATGTTTAAAACTTCTGTGTTGCTTGTTTTCATATTTTGGCAGGAATGTTTAACATTTAAATGATAAATATACATCTTTTTCACATCTGGTGTTTAACATCTTTAAATACATGCATTTATAGATGTCAGATTAAGTACAAATTATTGTTTTGGGCATGCCTTGGGCTGTTGCTTACTTGGACTAGACTGCCAGCTGCTCAGCAATGTTTTTTCCTGAGGGAAACATTTTTAGTACTGCAAGTGTAGGTCTGATAATTACATTAATGATAACAAATGGGTAAATTGCAGTGACACCCCTTTGGTTTTACTGAGGAGCTTCACTGGCAACGGGAAGGGAAAATTATTGTTAGTTTAGGAAATGACATACCTCATTAGATTTGATCTGACTTAGTTCTATCATTTATTTATTTTTTTTATTTGCTCCGTCCTCTCAGGGTATTGTGGATCCAAACCGTCGTGGTTGTTGTTGCTAAGGAAAACATCGGCTTGATGACGGACATCATCCAACGGTTCCAGCACAAGAAGGTCCGGGTGGTAGCCGGGGGCTCAACTCGCCACAGGTCCATCTGCAATGGAGTCATGGCTCTGGGGGAGGAGGGGAAACCCAAGGTGGTCATTATACATGATGCTGTGCGCCCGTTTGTGGACGAGAACCTCCTGTACCAGATAGCGGTGGCTGCCAAGGAGCAAGGAGTGAGTGCAGTAAAAGCTAATTTAGACAGTTCAGTTGAGATTCACATTTTTATTTGTCACTCTTTTAAAAATATGATCAAAATAGACTTAAATAGAGTCCATGAAAAACATGGAGCACCTCTGTAGTAAGCTGTGAAGGGGAAACTTCACAGCTGAGCATTTCATTTAAATAGCAGAAGGACCTGTATTCAGTAGAAGCATGAACTTATTATTAGACAAATGATTGTTCTGTGTTCAAGGCTTGGAAAATGTCACCTGGAAAAACTTACAGCTGAAGTCAGATGATGTCTCCTTTCCAAGAAACAAGCTGTGCGGAGGATGATTGTAATCCCTGTTCAAATGGAGAAATAAACCTAAAAGCTACTCTGTCCTCATGCTTGGAGAGAGGAGGCTAAGCTAAATTAAATCCCGACTGGAGCTCAGACTTCATCTCCTGAGCACTGGGCTGAAAAGCAGACGAGGTTATCTGTAGAGCAAATTGTAAACAAATCCACCATTATTAGCCACCCCAGAGTCAGATATTATATCGGAGAGCCGATTGCAAGGGATTTGGTGCGACCTGAGCTTTATGTTTTACCTGCTTCTGTAAACAGAAACTAACCAATCACATAGAGATCATAAAAGAGCACAGCTTTAATGGTTTTATCTAGTTTTAACTAGATTAATGCATCATCTCATCACTCTTGGTCAGTTTCAGAAAGCATTTAGATATTGTTGTTTATGACAGACAATTTTGGGTGATTTATAGTTAAAACTCAAGATGATTGAGGATCCTCTTGAGCAGAGGTCATGTAGGTTTTAAAAAGAGGTTCATAGAGGTCACAATGTATGTGATTTGTCCGAGCTTAGTGATGAACGCTGACAGGAGGCTCTCTGGTCTTTATTACCTCAGCTATAGCTGCATTCACGGCCCTTTTTCTGCTTAAAGCAACAGATTCATGTTTATGTTGAAATCTGCTGTATTTGAGTGAAAAATACTTGAAATGAGGATCCAGGTTCACACTTTGCTGTTGTAAATTACTTAACCAGATAAATGGAAAGCTTCACTGATTTTTCTGTTAACATATTTTTCTCTGTTTTAATTAGTTTTATTGTGTACAGTTGCAGTAATGTGTCTGAGATGTTTTTTGTAGCACTGCATTCATTTCAGAGTCATTGAAAGCGGTTAGTGGAAAAGAACCAGGTCAGATTGGAACAAAATGGGGTCACCATCAATGATCTCCAATGATTATTTTAGAAATAGAGATATATTTTAGATAAAAAACTAAATTAGAGTTAATCAAAAGAGTTTCAGAATTTTTAAAAGCATTAAACATGGTCTACATGCAGCTTAAATGAACACAGTAAAACAACATGGCTGCTTCAACTTTCTTTCTGAATTAGTGATGAGGGTATAAAGGCTTATGGTGTTGAGCCCAGTGTTCCCAGTTTAGCCTCTTTCCAACTGAAAAACATTCGTTAACCTGGTATTTTCAAACAAGAGTCGACACGCTCACAATCTTCATTTGGCTCCCTTCCCTTCAAACTGCATGGCCTCTGTCCTCCGCCGCTGCGTGTCTGGTGAAATCATCTTGCTGGGTTGGCATTGATGCTGTCTTCTGTGTGACAGAAATCAGGAAAGTAAACAATAAAGAGAAGCATGTATCGATCCTCTAACAGAGCCGCTGCTGGCTGAGAAGTTTTGTGCACTGTGACGCGTTTTCAAGAAGTCTTCCTGAGCCCCAACCCATCCTGCGTTTTCTTTCTTATTTATTTTCCAAAAGTTACAATTACGATGACGACTACGGTCAACAGAAAAGTTTGACAAAACCTCCTCACCTGCCGTGAGGAGGTTTTATTTTAGAAGATAGCAGTGTAACCAAAAGGCAGCCTTTTGGTTACACTGCTTTCTTTTAAAATAACAAGGGACCCCACCCCCTAAGCAATCACCCCAGCTGTGGGAAGATCTGAACACCTGTGCCACCAAAGAAATAAACTAGATATAAACCGTTAATATTTTTTTGTTTGTATTTTGCTTAATTTTCATTGAACCTAATACTTGTTTGTTGCTTAATTTTAACTTAATTTAACTTAATACTTTTTTTCCCTGTAAGCTGCTGGTAACCTTAATTTCTGGATGGAGTCTTCCCAAGGGATCAATAAAGTACTGTTTAAGTCTAAGTATCTCTTAACTTTGGCCCCTACAATGTAGGTAAGCCAGGGCGTAGTAAGTGTGCTTTATTGTTTCAATCTTTTGTCCCCTCTAAATCCCTCTTACCAGTGCTGCAATAATTTTATCAAATGTAAGCAGAGATGATTTCGGCTTGTTAGATCAGACATTGCCGGTGCGGTGTGTTGACGTCTGTACATTGCGTGCCATAATATCGTGTAATTTAGCGAGTCAACCCGGTTCTGGTGTTCCCACAGCAGGCCAATCAGACCCAAGGGGATTTTAAAGTGGATCACTTTCTGAGTCGTTTCACCTGAGTAAATATGCGTCAGTGCTCTGTTCCCACTCCCACTAAAAACTAGTTTATTTGGCCAGTGTGACAGGGGTAGGTATAGGCCATCTTTAATGTCTAGAAAACAACAAGAAGCAAAATGTGTGTTTCTATAGGTTCTACTAACCCTGGCCTAAAGATAAGTAATCTAAAGAAAATTTCCATCTAAATTCTTAATCAGGATGAGCATCATTTTTATTATTTTCGCATTTACTGAAACCTCGGAAGATTTAACCCCAAAATTTGCTGATCACCCTAACTGTCTGCTCATTTTTGTTACCATCATATCAGTTACCCAAATGAACACAGAACAATTTATTTTGATGCCATAATTCAATTAAAATATACTTAATTGATTCCAAATGGAAATGAAATGTTTTTGTAACTCATATTCTTTTTTTTTTTTTTTTTTGATATTTATAGCTGTAGGCAGAAAGCTTTCTGCCCTCCACCGGATCTGGAGAAGCCATTGACTGAAGACACACTGTTGTTGTTTAACGGTCTTCTGAAGACGATGCTATTTTCTCCATCATTTATTAAATTTTTGGAGAATTATTGTTTTGTAAAATCCTCTCCCATAATTTGCTCCGAAGCTGTTACACCAGCAGATGATGGCAGATGATAAAACGCTCTCCACAACAGAATACACCAAATGTTGGCGGAAACCTGCATGAGTCTAATATCCCCCTAAAGTAGAAATACTGAAGTTTTTGGGGAACATATTTTTTCCAAATGCATTCTTGTCTTAATGTTTTGTAATAAATTCCAGATCCTTGTGTCTTTTTCCATACAGGCAGCTGGAGCTATCCGGCCGCTTGTTTCCACAGTGATCGCCACTACATCAGAGGGATACCTGGATCATTCTTTAGAGCGGGCCAAGTACAGGGCCAGCGAAATGCCTCAGGGATTCAGATATGATGTCATCCATCAGGCCTACCAGAGGGTAAGAGATGCTCTTTAAGTCAAAAACACCAAACATTTTACAGGCACGATTTGAGGTTAACAGGGCCTTGGTTCCTACTGGCTGTTAAATTTGCTAATATTTGTGAGAAAATCGCATTTGTGCAGCCGGTCTGGAGTGCAGCGGGGCGGAGCGCTGACGGAGTATGAGGGATTTCGGGGTTAGCATGACATGTCGGTCATGTTGCTGTTAGCATAAACAAAACGTGTTGCACAATGCTTGCACACTGTTGCACTTTTATCCACAACTTTCTTTCCGCCGTCATCGTAGGTCACTCTAAATGCAAAGTGCTCCCATACAGCAGACCTATAAAGTGCTGCTGGCGCGTCTTCCAACTCCAGTTCTTTCCCACTCGCCATACCCACACAATTCTCCACAACAACTGATTTTTTTCCCTGCTACACCCGGCTAAGCTGCTTCGCTTCTTCTTCTTCTTGTTTACTACTGGTGGTTGGCTTTGGTCGCAGTACTGCCACCTTCTGCTTTGGAGTGTAAACGCTTTGCCTATGAGAAAAAGGAGCAGCGCATGAACCGAACGAAACACACGCGAATCGAACCGAGACAGTCGAACCGAACGGTTCTGACGGTTTTCATAAATCGTCCCATCCCTAATATATATATATATATATATATATACTTATTGCTATAGTATTTGTTCTGCAGACCAATGGAAAAGTGCTTTTAGTCCCCCAGAAACTTGGCTATTGGTTTAATGTATCAACTCCTCTCCGATTGGCGGGTTGATTTCAACAAGTGATCCAGTGAATACCATTGTCTACTTGAGGGCCTGAGCATAGCTTTTTTTTTTAAGAGCATAGTTTCTTTCAAATCTAGAATTGACAGGTCTGGCGCCCCTAGATCCTAAAGACAGTTTTGCTTTGGATTAAAAACCGCAAGATCCTACGGAAACCTTCCATCCTTTCTAGCTCCATTTGATTTAGCCTGTGGAGTTATTGTCCATTCCTTTTCTGCTGCTGCTTGGAAACAAATGATACAGTTAAATATTCTGCACACCTGTAGATTAGTGGATGGGACAAAAATGAAACAAAAAATAGTAAAACATTTATCCTTTACTTTTAGGCTTGCTGAGATTAACTGTCTGAGCAGCTAAGTGCAGTTTAATGTCCCTGTATAGAGGAAAGAATTTAGATCCATATGAGCCACAACTGTGCAGGTTCTTGACAGAAAGCAGGGGGCTTTTTGTCCCTAAACATGGCAAACCAACTAAAACACAGATATTTCTTTTTCAGACACATTAAGTTTGCCATTTCAGCCTTGATTTCTTCTTTTAAAGCGGCACAGAACTTTTAGCTCAGAGCTGAAGTATGCCTTTAATTGGAGCGCAGTTCGTCTGAAGTTATTTTTACTCTTGGCACATACAGATCTACAGATTGCTTTGAAAGCTCCATGGGCTTCAGCATTTTGCAGAAAATGAGCTCACCCTTGTGCTGCAGTGTCACAGATAGTCAGGTTGCAGAAAGACACATTGGTTCTTTTGGCTGAGACTATGTATCCCTCTCCTCCTTTTTTAACTTTAGAAAAGATGTGAAAGTCTAAGGTGTCTGTCAGGTTAAGACTGTAGGACATAGTCGTGAAAAATCCCTGAGAGCGGCAGACTTGTTGCTTGACATCCATTCAGACCCGGAGAACTAAGGGGTGAAAAGACAAAAGCGGAGACACATTATCCAGTCTTCAGGGAGGCCCTTTGTATTCAGAGAAAATACTGAAGGTTAAATTACCTCAGCAGATAAAACCATGTTATTTCTTTCTCACCAAACTTACACAGATGCTGTAGGAAAAAGGAAAAACATGACTCCAATACTAAAATTTACTGAACAATGCAAAAAACAGACAATTCAACAATTTCATATTCTGTCATTTTAAAACTTAGTTTTCAAAGTTTTAACACTAGTTCTGCGATAGACTGATACTAAATGCATAATTGTGAATTTGGCTTGCTGGGTGGACCCTATTTAAGTGCATAATGCATGCAGTTATATTTGCCAATGTTTAACCGATAACTACAATTGCAGCTGTGAATCTTCAGGGCCACACGTACACCAGCTTTGCATGTCATTCTTTTGTTTTTCTTTAGCACATCCTTCTTTGTAAAATAGTTTAATCAGCCAACATCTTAATCAGCTTTAGTCAGCATCAAGTTTCATTTTCAAGTCTTGCCACAGATTCTCAGTTTGGTTCAGGTATGAATTTCTAAATGTAATTACCTTTTTCAATGATCGTTTTGAAACTTTCTGGTCATTACAAAAGCAGGAATTTACATCACGTTATGGTCACAGTTCCTGTCTGTGACTAATGTCCAATTAATCCACCATCAACTGGAACAGGAACAGGTGGTGCATAACTAAAAAGCATCAAACAGCGAGATTGATCTGAAGGCATACTGAGTAACAGGTTAATGTTATTCAATTGTTGGCCTAGTGGTTAAAGCAGTGCGCTTGTGCTCTGAGAAGGTTGCAAGTACCCGGTTCGATCCCCACAGCCTCCACTCTGGGTTCCTGAGCAAAACCCTTAATCCCACACTGCTCCTCAGGCGTCAAACAATGACAGCCAACTGCTCCCCAAGGTAATGGGTTAAAATGCAGATAGTGAATTTCCCCGTTGTTGGACAATAAAGGGATTTACATTATTTTTTTGGTTTTTTTACATTTTTTTTATATTACTGTATTATTCAGTTTATTAGAGTAGGGGAGTCTTCTTGTAATTGTTTTTTTAAATTTTTTTTATCAAGATTACATCAAAGTATCTTGTGTTGACAGTTGGGTTACAACTAAGCATTATTTTCCAAATCGATTAATCTGTCGAATATTTTTCGATTAATCGATTAATGATTGGATGGCTCAAAGTTTCCTTAAAAAATATTTTTTATTAAAGTAAACCAGGTGAAACTAAAACTTTCCTACTTAAGGAGTTCCTGATAGAATATATTGACAGACAAAACATTTATTAAATCTTGAATGCAAAATGTTTATTTATTTACTTTTAATCTTGGTATAGTTACTGCTCTAAGTGGGTCGCTCTGTCAGCTAAAGGCATATATTAGAGTCTCTATACTGATGAATGATGAATCAATTTCTAAATAAGTTTAGGATTATTTCACAAATCGATTAATCTGGTTTATTATTTCAGCCCTAGTTGACAGGCAGGTTACCCAGGATAAA